TTAAAGAACAAAAACAATTGAATTATGTTCTCATTTAATAAAGAGATTCCTTGTTTTGTTTACATCCTTGTAGAAATAAATGCTCAAAATAATTTGAACCTCTAACTAGTTCTCTGTACTTGGTCATGTTTATCCTCAAATATGTAGGTTTCTCTATTATTTTTTCAATATCCATGAATTTAACTCAGGATTATAATATTACTATATTTGTCTTCATCCACAGTTTATGTCACCCTTATTGAGAAAGTGATGTGTGGGTTTTGTCAGAAAAGATTAGTATATCATTATTCTATTATATGCCTTCATTGAAAAGATTCGGGTATGGAGGTAGGAAAATAGGAACTCTTAGATTGGCACTGCATCTCAAAATATGACATTATCTTCCACTAATCATTTATTCCTAATCTATTAACATGATGATAAATTCAAATAATTTCTCTTCAGACAGGTTAAATAAAAATTTTAAAGTAATTAGTTACTGAACTATCACAAACAGTAACCTTACTCTGACTTAAATAGGTGAAGAGTATTAATAATATTTCATATCTGTATTTCAAACACAATGAAATAAATAGAATAACTTCTAATGAGGTTAAAAAACTCATTTGTGGTTAAATTGAAGTATCAAATTAGGAATTTTAGGTGAATATCAACACTGTCAATTTAAGAACCTTTTTCAACTATAAATGTCACTTGACAATTATATAAAATCACCTATATGGAGGGAATTTATCACTTGGCCCATATTTGAAGTCAGTGGCTACTACTAGATCAGAAATGTTTGTTATTCACAGAAAAAAAATGATAGTTACCTCATCTATGTATACTAAATTCAATTTCTATGTCTTTGAGTTGACAAGAATGGTTGCTTCCTTTATATTTTCTTTGTGTTTCATTATTATTTTATTGAACATTAGTGTTCTAGTTGTTAAAATTCTTGATTATCATTTCATGTTGGATGATTGATAGTTGGAAAACACTACTGTACTTTTGTTTTGGAAATAGAGTCTTACTATATTGCTCAGACTGGCCTCAAACTCCTGGGCTCAAGTGATCCTCCTGCCTCAGCCTCTCAAATATCTGGGACTACAGATGCATACCACTAAGCCTGACACATTGCACATTTGTGTACATTCTTTTATTGTGTTAACAGACTAGATTATTCTTATACATTCTTTGAATTAATTTTTCTATATTCACAAGCTTATCTTTCTGCATGATATTTAAATCATTTATCCAAATTCCAAGTTCTTTAAGTATAATTAACTGACTACAATTAATTTAAGACTTTAATCTGTCAAATGTGTAAGATTCTTTTTAATTATAATTATTAAGTTGTATTAATTGTACAAATTAATAGTGGTTTTCAAATTTTGCTTCTCTTTAACAAAAATACATATGATAGATAATATTCAAAAGTTCCACCCAACACAATAAGTTCCAATTGTTCCCTAAGGCCTTCTGTATAAACAAAAGAAGGTACCAGTTATACTTGAATCAAAGCCTGTGCTCAATAGAATGACATCCCTTTCTCTTTTACTGACTTATATGTGAATTGAGAACCACTAACTCAGATTTTATCTACAATCGATATAAACAAGTTGAATCTGATGAGTACTTGAAAGAGGGCCATGTATAGGAAAGCACTTCCAGGATATTGGGAAGTTTCATTACTCTCAGAGTATTCCATCACCATCTGTGAACTTGTGCATAAAATCATGCAATATTTCATTTAAAAGCAAATAAATTTTCAGCTGATAGGACTTAGAAGCACCAAAACCGTAGAAGAAATGAGTACACCTAGCACCCGAATCTTGATTTCTAGTGCTATTCTCTATTAAAGTGAATCAGGCAGGGCTCTTGGGAAAATGGATAATTCTCTAATTCTCAGCCTGAGGCAGGAAATACCCAAAATAAGCTGGAAACACTTTTTGGTAATGTAAGAAAATGCTGGAAAAAAAAAGTAAGATATCTGGTTGCAGTGGCACACGCCTGTTATTCCCTGCTACTTGAGAGGCTAAAGCAGGAGGATCACAAGTTTGAGACAAGCCTGGGAAACATAGTGAGACCCTCTCTCAAAATTTTTAAAACTAATAAAAATTAAAAGGGCTGGGAATATAGGTCAGGAATTCAGCACCCCTGGGTTCATTCACAAGTACTACAAGAAATAAAAGTAAGCAAAACAATCCCAAATTGATGGGGTTATAACAAAGGAACAAAAAAGCCAATGAAAGAATTCCCAATGGGCAAATTTGAGAGATTTGGAGCAAGAAAATAAAATAGAATTGCATTACAATCCAATGCATTATATAAATATCCATGAGTCCATACTAATAAAACTAAATGTTTGAATAAATAAATAAATACAGAAGAAAAGACAAATCTCTCCATGCAAAAGAGTTATAGATAATTCTTGTAGATATTCCACCCTGAAAGAGGTAGAACACAACTCCCCACCCTCAACTGTAAACTGTAAATAATGACTTTCTTCCAAAGACTATAGTATGGAAAGGAAGGCAAAATCAGCAACTTTACAGTGAAAAAAGGCAAATGCTACCTCAAGCCAGGTGATCAAGGTTAACATCAACAGTAATAAGTCATATTGATCCATTCCACCCTTGATAAAATGTGTAGAGAATGGTATTTTACATTTACAGACTTCCTCTGCAAAACACATTATCCCAGTCTAACCATGAGGAAAACACCAGATATATTTCAACTAAGACACATCTGACTGATACATCTCAAACATTCAAGGTTATCAAAAACAAGGGAAGTCTGATGAATTGCCACAGACAAAAAGAGCTTAAAGGAGACATGACAACTACATGTAATGAGGTATTACAGATGGGATCCTGAAACAGAAAGGGATATTAAGGAAAGACTCAGGAAATACAAAGAAAGTATTTACTGTACAGTATACCACTATTACATTTGTTCATTTGTTCATTAGTTGTAATAAATATATCATAGGCAATGTGAGATATTAATAAGAGTGAAAAATATACAGAAACTGTACTTTCATTGAAATAGTTCTGTAAATCAAATTATTCTAAAGCTTAAAAGTATATTTAAAAATAAATAGGGAATTTTTGTTACAGCACTTTTATACACATAAAAATCTGTAAACAAAGTGTACATTCTTCAATAGGAAAATTAATATTTCAACTGTGGTATTATAAAATATTAAGCAACACAGAATATTATACACTAAAAAAAGAGTGAGTAAGCTCTCAAATGACTTGGAGAGATTACTACTAAGTTTATTTTACTAAGAAAATAAAATGCAGAGAAATATATAATCCTGCTTTTATTTTGTAAAACAATGAGGAGAATCTCCATGTAAAATGTTTGTGTAGTTTTTTAAAAAGTAAGGAAAACACATGAAATGTTCACACTAAGTTGTTATCATTGCTAGGAGTAGGAGAGTGGTTTAGAGTGGGGAGGGAAAAAGAGGAGAGGTATCTAGACTGAGGACATAAGTAGGGCAGAGGAAGTAAGCAATAATTAGTTAATTGACTCATTATAAACCTGTGCATACTGAGTTAATGCTTTGCAAATAAACATTAAATTTGTGAAAACAACAAACAAACAAAAACAATAGAGGTAGGTGGAGAGAAAGGGATCTTTCTGATCGGCAGATTGTGCAGTGAGGATGGAGGATATAGAGGGTGTGAGTGGGAAAAAGAGTAACACCACCCTAGAAAATACAGTTTCAATCACTATAGCTGAATTACACCTACTTCTCAATTTTGCCAAGAGCTGCACACTAAGGGTGTGATGAAAATAATTGATGCTTCTGCCAAAATCCTGGGGATTTTTTCTACCTCAAACAGACACTGAACTCACCATTTGTTCTTCCAACATTCCCCTCCCTACATTAAAGTGATTCTTAAGGCATCAAGAAGGTTCTCAATTTTATACACCACCTTGTTCTCCTGCCCTTTAGAACAATGAGACCTCACCAGGCAGTTCCAAGTGTTTTTGATGAAGAAATGACATAGCTTTGGCATCAAAGTCCACAGGAGACAAAAATAGAGTCTGTATTTTCAAAAGTTAAAATCAAATAGTAGAGTGCAGATCCCTGGTGAGCAAGATCAGAGACTCTCAAAATGGCAAAATTGAAAGGTGATTTAAAGGTCATCTCAGCTATCTACTTCAATACCTAATCCAGTCTCTACATGAGATGCTAGATCCTAGATTCTAGTACTGGTATAGAGAGGGGGAAGGGAAGACATATTGTACAATCCCTAAAGATAAAACAGATTGCTTTTCACTGTAAACTTCTTGCAAGCAAGAATTATGTCTGTGAAATCTTCCCAGTATAGCACCTAGAAACTCAGGATGGCTGTGTGTTTACAGAGATCTGTGCTGAATATTTAGACAGTAGAAACAAACTCACATTGAAAATTCTACAAAGGATATTAACAGTAGCTCTTTTGCTAAGAGGCCTCCTAGCAGCATTGGAGTTAATTTCCATCAACAAGGAAAGAGAGACCTTGGCCTAAACAATACTTAACGTCATTTTCATGGCCAGCTATCAAGATCATTGAGCCAATTGGCTCTATGGAAAAGTAATTACTCATATAAGACCCTGGGGCAGGGGTGGAGTTGGAAAAGAAAAGAGTCACACAATTTTCTATATTAAATAAGCACACACAGTACTTTATGATAATTTGATACAAATTTGCTGCATATTTTCAATAGGTAATTAGAATTGAATTTACTGAAGTACTCCATGTCCTGTAAGCTATTTTTTTTAAAAAAAAATTTAGTTGGACACAATACCTTTATTTTATTTATTTTTATGTGGTATTGAGGATCAAACCCAGCATCTCACACATGCTAGGCAAGCACTCTACCACTGAGCTACAACCCCAGCCCCATCCTTTAAGCTTTTAAGAACATATTCACCATATACTGTGAGGTACATCTGCGTATACTCCAGTCCCAATCAAAAGACTATAAGCCACTGATTAATATTTTCACATGATACTTACCTTAAAACACAAGTGTAAAATCCACTGTCTTGTGCCTCAGCTGAGTGAAACCATATTGAATCTTCTTCTTTGCTCATCCTGACCTCTGAAAATATGATGGGCTCTTCCAAATCACCTTTGTTTTTGTACCACATAAGCCTGAGCCCAGTGCTTTGGGCCATGCTGTAGTTGGTACGAATGTAACTGTAGAAAAGGGCACATTTCACTCGAACTGGTTCACCTGCCAAAGCCATGTATGTCTTGAGATCCACTGACCAGTCAATGCAGCCATCCACTGAAACAAAAACCAGATGAGTCATGAGATTCAGTGTGCATGTTTGGTAATAATGATAAGAGCAACCATCATTGCCATCATGTACTGAGAACTTTCTATGAGCCAGGTACTGAGTCAAGTTCTTTACATTGATTACTTTATTAAACCTTCTCAGTGACCCTATGAGATAGACCAGTATCTTTCTTAGACTATATCAAATAGGAACCTGCTCTAGCTCTGTACCTCTAGGTGTTTTTTTTTTTTTCCAATCAACTGTAGCAACCTTAAACTTGGTAATCAAGATCCTCCTAGGAGTTCTAGCACTCATACCAACAAGATTGTTCTGAGATCTCCCAGCCAGATCCCAATTCCAGCAGAGTGTCTGGGCAACTGAATTGCTCCTACTAGCTATTGAGTATTTCCTTTGCAGAGCCATGTGAAATTGGGCTGCTAGAATAGCAGTGATGTATTTCTCTTAGGTGACTCAAATAATTTATTATGCAAGAGTCACACAAAGCAAATATTTCCAAGAGGCCCCAGCACAGTCTAGGAACAGGACTGAGATAACAGTGGCATTCTTATTTTACTGATGAGGACACTGAGACGCAAATAAATTAAATGACCTTACCCAAGGTCACACAGCTACTAAATGGTGGAAAACCCATCTCTGATTGCAGGGACTGACTATATTCTTAACTAGTGTATACTGCCTATGCCTATAACCGTAATGAGAACCAATTTGTTATTTAGCTGACTTTGAGATAGTAATGTTGGGGTTAGAAGGAGTGGGCACCTAAAGTGATTATTTGCTATCAAATGCATGTCATTTTTCTATGGTATGAAGTGTTAATAGTAGATATTTAATCACAGGTCAATTTCTCTTTATACCCTTAGGTTTCCCTTGCTGCTTAGCTGGTATGTGCTCATGGGAATATATTAGATTAATGCCAGCTTTAATCAAATAATATTAGGTAGGTAAATCTACCTTTAAAGAAAGTCATATATAGAAAATTTGCTCTTTACCAGAAAGGCTAGAAATGAGACACTGCAGCTAATTTAATATGGTAGTCAATATAATTAGCATAGATATTCTTCCTCTGATTGCTTATTTTTGAAGAATTTCATCAAATTATGCTACATCCTTTTATGTTACTTGATTACTGTTTATAAATTAATCATTTCATAAAATGTATAAACACTGCCATTTTAAAATTACAAGTTTTGCTTATAATTTTGTGAACTGATCTGCTTCCCTTTTTAGATGTTGAGAACTTAACCCAATGTATTTAACTTTTTCACCTCATTTGACAGGAAGTTGAGAGCTAAATGTACTGCCCAAGTGTAATAACCATCATACCTCAGGATTTCACTTTCTGTATGTGAAGGGTTATTGAACCAGGGTTCAAGAACTTCCAGGAAAAAGATACATGAATAGACTTCAGGTTGTTGGCAAAATAATTGTCTATTTGCAAAGGTATACCATTTTGAGGAACTTTTCTATAGCCTAAGAATTTTTTTGAATTTCATAGTTTCTGATATTTTTTTCTGACTTGATTTTTCTCTTCGCTCCTGCAAATGTGCTTTTTATTATAAGTTGCCAGAATTGTTAATATGTGAAGTATTCACTAGAAGTAAATACTAGATTCAAAAAACTCACATTAAACTTATACTGAAGGGTATATAAAACTTCTTTGAGTATTCAGAAGTACCAAATTCATCACTATGGATTTTAATGACCACTGTTTACCGTTAAAGCCAAGAAGATATAGATTTGACTAAATATATACTGGTAACTGGCTATCTCTTGGGGTCCTTTTTATTCTCCCCTTGGTTTTGGCTTGTTTACCTATGATTTGTCAATCTTATCACTCATGAACAGAGAGGGAAATTTGAATTAATTAAACTTTGGGGGGGCTAAAGTAAATTACTGAAAACATATCTCTAGATGCAATTTTAATATTTATTTTATCATTTTGAAATGAATTTTGTCTTATTCCTTCTTATGGATTATCATGAAACTGTTCCCATGCCTTTAAATAACTCAGAGGACAATGGTAGAAATTTTTTAGGAAATTTAACTTTTTCATAGATGGATTTTAAAAGTTGATTAGTGGAAACAAAGAAAACATGGAGACAATAAAAAAGAGAACCATGTTCTATTTCTTATTCTCTATAAACCCTAAGATGCACAGTAATTGTTTTTGAATCAACAAATTAGACTTGGCAAAATAGCTTATACCTCTATAGTTATTTATTTGATAGAAAAAAATCTTCTTGATTTCTTTTTCATTTGCTCCCTAAATTCCTTTACTTCCTTCTTCTGAACTGTTACATCTGAACTATCTACACTTTTACAATGTTAACAAACCAGTTTGGCCCATAAGTAATGAGACATTATTGGTACTGAAGATAATCAAAAGGGTACTGAGTTACAACAATTATGCTAAACAAGAGTTTGAAACATTTAACTGCTCTGACAATTAGCTTTTTCACATAGACCTTGAGAGTACACTGAGAATTCATTTTCTTTTAAGTAGCATCTAAGCAACATGCATTTGATTTAATAGATTTATACCCTCTTTTTTTTTCTTCTGTTACCTTGTGTTAGGTATCAGAGAGGGTGTACTTGGAGAACACAAACCAGTAATGGGGAACATGATTTCTAAATGTTATCCCCTTTATTCTTGTTTCTTTCTTAGTATTTACAGTACAAGGTTATGCCATACGTATTAAGAGAGACTGAGAGGGTTTTTTCCCATTAAATAGTCAAAGGATATGATATCAAGGTTCTATGAAGGCCCATATATAAGCAAATATTTTGCCATACTAAATTTCCACTAGTAGAATTCCATTTCTGTGAGCTAACTTTCTAGCTAAAGAATATTAGACCCCAGTAGATTCTAAAGAAGTGATATGATCTATTTATTTTGTATTGCTATTCCTAGCAATCTAACTAAGTAGCAAGAATGGATGTAATAAGATAGAGTACACTTATTTTCAGATTTGGGACTACTGAAGCAACTAAGAAATATAAACTGAGTTGAGGGGCCTAAAACGTCAGGTGAAAAGCCAGCATAAAGAGCTTGAACATTTGGGTTTAACCAGGATGATCTGAAAGAGATCAGAGGGTCTACTGATATTTCTACTATTTACTCATAGTATTTTTTAAAATTAATTTCTTATGGATGTATAAGGTCAGATCCACTGTGGTATAGTCATATATGTACATATGAAAATTTTGTCCTTCCATTGTCTTTCCTTTTCCTGTCATCCACCTTTCCCTTCATTCCCCTTTGTCTAATCTCTGAACTTCTAGTCTTCTCCCCTCACCCTTATTGTGAGTTAGCTTCCATATATCAGAGAAAACATCCAGCCTTTGTTTTTTTGGTATTGGCATATTGCATTTAGCATGATAGTTTCCAGATCCATCTATTTATGGGAAAATGTTATAAAGTTATTCTTGTTTATGACTGAGTAATACTCCATTGTGTCATATACCACATTTTCTTTACCCATTCATGTGTTGAAGGGAACCTGTGTTGGCTCCATGGCTTAGCTATTGTGAATAATTGTGCTATAAACATTGAATAATTGTGCTATAAACATTGATGTGGCTGCGTCACTGTAGTATGCTGACTTTAAGTCATTTGGGTATAAATCAAGGAGTGGAATAAGAGAGTCAAGTGATGGTTTCATTCCTAGTTTTTTTAGGGATATCCATACTGCTTTCCAGAGTGGTTGCACCAATTTGCAGTCCCACCAGCAATGTATAGTGCATCTTTTCCCCCACGTCCTCATCAACATTTATTATTCTCGATAATGAGGAGCTTGTCACACTTTCAGAGCCTTTTGCATGTGGACTCTCCATATCTGTGTGGCAAATAGCTGAATGAAAAGATTTGTGATACTGCTGATGAAGGTGAAGGCTATGGCAAGGACGGTGACATAATGGAACTGAGCAGTGCACAGAAGAAGCTCAACGGTGAGCTTGACCTCAGCAGCACCGGCCTCCAACCAACAGAGCCATTCAACCCTATTCTGTTCACAGCTTCAGTGGCAGCTGTGGCAGCAGGCCCCCAACAGGGCTCCTGAGAAAAGTGTTTTCCAGATAGATTTGCTTCTCCCCCAGGTGATTTAATAAGTGATTCTCACTGATCGGCTACATGTGTAAACAGAACACTACAGGATACGGGAGTTTTCCACACAAAAGGTGAAAGTCTGAGGCTTTGCCCCCCCCACACACACACACAAATGGTGAAATTCTATAGAATCATCCTACAGAACAAACACATTGAAAATACAAGTGCTTGAATACTTCCCTTCTGCTTAATAATCACTCAGTATAGTTACAAATATTCCTGTTCTACCCTTAAAAAAATACCTCCAGGGCTGAGGGTATAACTCAGTGGTAGAGCACTTACTTGGCTAACATATGCAAGTTCCTGGGCTGGTGACATGCACTGCAAATAAAATTGCATACAATTTCAGTGTGGCTACTGAAGTCTAACTAACCCATATAAAAATAATATCTCCTAGATAATGCTAAGTGAAGTTAGCTAATCCCCCCAAAACAAATGCCAAATGTTATATAAGGAGGCTGATTCATAGGGAGGGGGAGCACAGGAGGAATAGACAAACTCTAGATAGGGCAGAGGGGTGGAAGGGGAAGGGAGGGGGCAGGGGGTTAGCAAGGATGGTGGAATGTGATGATTCGTTACTATCCAAAGAACATGTTTGAAGACATGAATTGATGTGAATATACTTTATATACAACCAGATAAAAAATAAAATTTACACACACACAAACAAAAGTTACACATCTGACATTCAAGTTCACTATTCTTCCTAATTTGTAGGCTGAGCTCTTAAAACTCTAAATATTTGTCTTAGTTCTAAGACTGCTTTCTTCAAGTCTGTCAGAGATTCTGCTGTGCAACCCAGAGTCCCAGGTTCAAAATAAATTGTACTGGTGTGCTTGGAAAAAAAATCTTCTATTTCTACATTTTTTCATTATCTGTTCA